ACACAAACAGCTTGAGTGCGCAGCAGCTGTTACGTTGCTGTTACACTGGTGTTGGCTGCTGTGTCAGCTGCTGTTGCACCAGATTGTTGCCGACCCCTTTGACGGCGTGACAATGGACACCAACAGCTCAGGTGCGCAGCAGCTGTCGCATCACACTGGGGGCGGCGGCTGTGCCAGAACCTTGCAGTGGGACCACTTTGATTGTGTGACAATAGATACCAGTCTCAAGTGTGTACATTTTTATGCCAACTGCCTGCAGGTTGGGCGCTTGCTGTCGTGACTTCACGTGCATTCAGGGTGGCCGGCCCTGCAGCGCCTGCTGCGCTGCTGCCGCTGATTGACATGGCCAACCACAGTTTTGAGCCTAACTGTGAGGTGGTGCCGGTGCCGGGAGGAGTGGCCATGGTGGCAAAGAAGCAGGTGGGCTGCTGCTGCTGCTGGTGGTGCTTGTGTGCTTCATGGGCAAACATCTTTGTGGCATCGGCACATCTGAGTTGCAAGTTTCCTGCTGGGAGTGTGTTTAAGGCTCAGCTTAAACCCAACAGTGAGGTGGAGCCGGTGCCGGGAGGGGTGGCTATGGTCGCAAAGAAGCAGGTGGGCTGCTGCTGCTGCTGTTGGTGTTGGATTTGTACTTTGATTTTGCATACTGTGCAGTTCTCGAGCGTGCTGTAACCTTTGGAGTGAAGCCTGATCTCTGCAAGCCAGTGCATTGCTGTGATCTAGCAAACAAGGGCTGAGGAATTGCTGCAAGCAGTGGGTGCAAGGCTCAGCTTTGAGCCCAACTGTGAGGTGGTACCGGTGCCGGGAGGAATAGCTATAGTGGCAAAGAAGCAGGTGTGCTGCTGCTGCTGCTGCTGCTGCTGCTGCTGCTGCTGCTGCTGATGGTGTTGACTGTACTTCGCTTTGTCACTTTGTGCATGGGCAGCCTGCTGTATACGAGCATGGGGCTACCTGGTAACTGAAGCCTTATCCCTGCTGCTGTGCTACGGACGGCTCAGACAGTGATCTGGACCACTCCTCACATCAACATTACGTTAATCAGTGTATGTGTGTCTGCCTACCTGCCTGCTGCCTGCCTGCTGTATCAGATTGCCGTGGGCGAGCCGCTGCTGCTGAGCTATGGGCGGCTCAGCAACGACTTCCTGCTCATGGACTATGGCTTCGTGAGCCCTGATAACGAGCACGACAGAGTGGCGCTGCGCTTCGACATCGAACTTGTCAAGGTGCGGGCGTCACGATTTTCAAAGCTTGATCAGTTGTGAATGAATGACAATCTGTAAGTGTGGGGCTGGGGCTGGAGTGTGGCAGCGGCCCGACACCACAGAGTCCATGCTCACTCACTGCCTACCATGCGACTATGCCTGCAGCTGCCGCACTGAGCGGTGGCGCACGTGACACCAGTGGTAGGCTGCTGGAGCTGAGCACACTTTGATTTAAAAACAGACGTAACAAACTGACGCCATTTGCACGCATTGCTGATGCCACCAATGCAGGCTGCTGCGTTAACCGGTGGCGCACGTGACGCCAGCGGATACCGACTGGAGCTCAGCTCATCTTTCAGAGCAACAAACTGGCACCTTTTGCGCTGACTGTAATGCCGCTACTGCAGGCGGCTGCCCTGACCAGCGGTGTGCGTGACGCCAGTGGTAAGCTGCTGGAGCTGAGCACACCTTGATGGAACAACAACACACAACACATGGGCTCCATCTTCATTGCTGACATTGCTTGCAGGCTGCTGCATTGACTGGCGGTGCACGTGACGCGAGCGGCAAGCTGCTGGAGCTGAACGCATTTGATAATTTAACTAACCCAAACATGTGCTGACTGCTGGAGCTGTTTGCAGGCTGCTGCGTTGATTGGCGGTGCGTGCGATGCTATTGGAAAGCGTTTGGAGCTGAGTGCGGCAGGGCCCGGGCGGCAGCATGCAACAGCCAATGTAACAAACTGATGTCCATCTGCCTTGGCTGCTGACACTGTCGATGCAGGCTGCTGCGTTGACTGGCGGTGCGCGTGATGCTCGCCGCAGCTGCTGGATTTGACAGCATTTGATCGCCTAACAAACCCCAAACCTGTGTTGACTGCTGGTACCGCCGATGCAGGCTGCTGCCCTGACGGGTGGCGCTCGCGATGCTAGTGGTAAGCTGTTGGAGCTGAGCGCAGCGGCGCCGTGGCGGCAGCAGCACCTGGCTAAGCTGGGGCTCAGCGGGGGAGGCGCAAAGCAGAACTTGCAGGTATGGTATAAGGGGCGTGGCTGCCTGCGAATATGCTGCTTTGAGCTGCCAGCAATTGCTGCTCATCTCAGCTTGCAGGTGCGCAGGCAGAGTATGGGTTGTGCTTAGCTTGGGTGCGTAGCAAGGCGCCGTTGCCCACATGTGCTGCACTGTGTGTGCACTGCAGGTGCTGGGTGGCCCCAACTCTGTTGAGCCGCGCCTGCTGGCTGCAGCTGCTTCAAGCAAACACACTGCCAAACTGCAAACTTGTCATGGTGAACATGCTGCAATTTGTGCATATTGTGTCATAAGTGCTGCTGGGTGGCCCCAACTTTGTGGAGCCCAGCTGCTGGCTGCAGCTGCTCTACATCAACACAACGCCAAAACAGCCATTTGCCAACATGTGCTGCATTGTGCAAATTGTGTCATAGATGCTGCTGGGTGGCCCCAACTTTGTGGAGCCGCGGCTGCTGGCTGCAGCTGCTCCACACACTGCCAGCCAACATGTGCTGCAATATGCTTGTGCTCTGCAGGTGCTGCTTGGTGGCCCCAAGCTTCCTGAACCTGCATCCGCCCATAAAATCTGGCACTTCAACATACAATGCTGCTGCTATGTTGTGCATGCACTGCAGGTGCTGCTGGGTGGCCCCAATTTTGTTGAGCCGCGGCTGCTGGCTGCGGTGCGTGGGCTGGTGGCCACCTACCAGAGTGAGGTGGATGCGCTGACGCTCGAAGTGCTGGGCAGCTGGGACCGGCCGCTCAACAAGCAAAATGAGGTGGGTAAAAAAGCGGCTTTGGGTGACTCTGCATGTAACTCTGCGTGTGCAGTATGATGAGGCTGCAGAGCTGGGAGTTGTAACAGTACCGTAGTAATCTTTTTGAGGTGACATGCTGGGGTGACATGCTAACCAAGCGCGTGGGCTGGTGGCCACCTACCAGAGTGAGGTGGATGCGCTGACGCTCAAAGTGCTGGGCAGCTGGGACCGGCCGCTCAACAAGCAAAATGAGGTGGGTAAAAAAGAGGCTTTGGGTGACTCTGCATGTAACTCTGCGTGTGCAGTATGATGAGGCTGCAGAGCCGGGAGTTGTAACAGTACCGTAATAATCTTTTTGGGGTGACATGCTGGGGTGACATGCTAACCAAGCGCGTGGGCTGGTGGCCACATACCAGAGCGAGGTGGATGCGCTGACACTGGAAGTGCTGGGCAGCTGGGACCGGCCACACAACAAGCAGAATGATGTAGGGGATTTTCGCACCCCGTGTGTGCAGTGTGATGGTGCGGCAGTGCTCCAATTTTCAGCAGTGCCATAATGACCTTTGGGGTGGCATGCTTTGGTGACATGCTCTGTTTTTGCAGCTGGCACCGGCCAGTCAACAAGCAGAATGAGGTGGGTGACCCTGTCGGTTCTGTGTATTGCACATGCTTGACTTTGCCCCTGTGCAAGCGGCAGACCCTTCTACCTGCTGTGCCACCTGCCATACAATGCTTTGTAACTGAATCGCCTTGCACCACCTTTGCACTCAATTTTTAAGCATTTGTTTTGCTGCTTTGCAGACAGCAACCATCCGCATACTCATTGGCATGGCAATGGCAGCACTGCAGAACTTCAGCACAGGGCTAGAACAGGACCTGGCACTGCTCAGCGGCAGCAGCAGCAGCAGCAGCAGTGAAGCAGGGCAAACCCAAGAGCAGCAGCCGCAGCCGCAGCAGCAGCAGGAGCTGACGCCTGAGATGCGCACTGCAGTATTGTTCCGCAGCCAGCGGAAGCAGCTGCTGCTGGACGTGATCTCAGTGCTTGCAGAGAAACTGAAGCAGGTGGGCGGCAGAGTGACAGTGGGCAGCGCATGGGCTGATGCCGATGGCGGCATGAATGATGACCAACTACTGAGCTTTGCGCATCTTGCACTTGCCGTTTGAAGCCATGAGTGTCACCTTGCTGCTTGCCATCACACGCATCGCTTCAGAATGGCTTGCATGCTCATGATATTGCTCCCACTGTCAGCTACAACTCAAGTCATGCCATGCCAGCTGCCCTTCTGTGGAACATATGCAACCTGTGAAGTCACAGAGTTGCATGAATTGCAAGTGTTCTGCCGTGATGCTGCTGCTGCTGCCGCCAGGTGCCCCGCATCGCTGGCCTCAAGGAGTCGCCAGTGGTGGCAGCACGCAAGGGCCAGAAGCCGCGGCCAGCAAGCAAGAAAGGATTCGGCAGCAGCAGCTGAGGCTGGCCATGCGCATGTTGTGCATCCATCTTGTGCCGCCAGCGCAGCAGTTTGTCAGCACCAGGGCCATTATGGCCAAGGTTTGACCCACAGCTGCAGGAGGCTCAGGCAGGCTGAGCCTACTGCCGCATTTATTTGGCACCGCAACGTCGACCTGAAACGTTTTCAAAGCGTTGTTGTGCATCGCTGCGCACGCTGAAGCGTGGTGTCACCTGCAGCTGGGTGGGTTGTCTGCCAGTGGTTTACCTCAGGGCGGACATATGCGCCAACAAACCTCGACGATGTGTCGACGTGATAGGCTAAAGTCTACATGTGGTTTGTAGCTTTGCATCGCCTGCATCTAAGCGTGGGCCATGTGGCAGGAGCTGAGTTTGGCTTACAGAGATGTGCGATCGGCCTGTAGACCCCTCCAAATGGTCGAGCACGTGCTGTTCAATATTTTATAGCACGTAAAATCAAGAATAAGGCAAAATCAGAAGAGAGGGGCAAAATCGGAAAAGTAACAGAAAAATAACACAATCGCCTTTATAGCAGCTTGCACAGCTCAGCATGCAACTCATTTTACCGATGGCGTGGCCGAGTGGTCTAAGGCGCTGGATTTAGGCTCCAGTCCGCAAGGGCGCAGGTTCGAACCCTGCCGCCATCAATTATTGTGCTGTGTTTTGCATCAAATCACGGCACCCTGACACCTCTAAAACCACCTCATACACCTGTTGTGCCGGCAGCAGGATCAGCACCTCTCTCGACCTCTCTCGCTAGAGCCTGCTAGGCTGCCTCAATGCTACTCGGCCAAAGCCATGCGCATGCGACGCGTGCAGTTAACACGGTGCTGATGCAGATGCAGATCACACATGCTCAGCAGCATCACGTAGGAAGCGACACACTGCATCAACCCAGCTTAGTAACACACTCAGGTCAAGTGTTACCACAGCGCTGCAAGTGCTTTCAGTCCCGTCATCTGGTAGCTAGCTGCTGGACTGGTGCCATCAGCGCTGGCAGTGCACAAAGCCACATCAGACCTACGCAAGTCTACATATTATACACTGTTTCTCCAAATTGTCCCCCTTCTGCCACACCTTAGAGCACGCCTGCACAGCTGCCTAGGTTGATCTTACTGCTGGGCACCCACGCCACGGCAGTGGCACCAACCTGCTGGCCTGCAGAGGCACCACCAGCAGCAGCAGCACCTCCTACTCCAGCGCCAGCAGCAGCAGCAGCTGCTGCTGTTGCTGCTGACTGTGCACCAGCCCCCTCTGGGCCCGCCTGCACTGCCATGTTATTCTGGTGCGCTACATTCAGCAGAGCCACAAACAGCCGCTGAGCAGCAACCCCTGCTACTGCCTGACCACCACTGCCCCCACACCCGTAAGCACCACTGGATGTACCTCCTACTGCTGCTGCTGCTGCTGCTGCTGCTTGTTCCTGATGACTGCTGCCTGCCTTACTGCCCTGCCGCTGCCGCCGCAGCACAAGCTCCTTATGCTTCAGCTGCACCTGCCTGATGAACCCCATGACATCAAAACCGCCGCCCAAACCACCGCCGCCAGCACCACCACCACCACCACCACCTTTCCCGCTGCCACCACCTTCCCCCGTGCATGCTGCCGCTGATCCTGCTGCTGCTGCTGCCTGCCTCTCTGCTATCGTTTCCCTCAGGCACTGCCCCACCAGCAGCATCAGCTGCTGGAAGCCCCAGGTGCCAGCACCAGCAGCCTGCAGCTGCCCCTGCAGCGCCAGCTGGATGAATCTGCCATACAGCCGCTGCTGCCGCTGCTGCGCTGCAGCAACCCACGCCCGCCGCTGCTCAGGTGCCATGCTGGCGAGCGCTGCTGCTGGGGTCCGCCCGCGGGGGTTTAGCAGGCCTGAGGTTTTGTCACTTTGCCTGTTGAACCCTAGGGCTTTGCCGCTGCTGCCAGCAGCTGCAGCCTCATCCGGCTGTTGCTGCTGATCGCCAGCTGACAAAACTACGCCCTCATCTGCTCTTGCTGCTGCAGGATCATCTGCTCCAGCTAGCCCACCTGCTGCTGCTGCAGCAGCATTTTGCGGCTCCTCTTCAGCTGCATCTGCCATGACAACATCCATGCTGTCCAGGTCATCCCATGCCAGTGACACATCAGCACCCCCCAGCCCACACAGCAGCTGCTGCAGCACGCCAGCGCCAGTGGCAGCCTGGGCCACAGCTGCTGCTGCATCTGCTGCTGCTTCTGTGACTCCTTCAGCTATGCCGTCTGCTGCTGTGCCTCCAGATGCCACTGCAGCAGCAGCGCCACCTACTGCTGCTGCTGCTGCTGCCCCTTCATCTTCCATCACCACCATATCCAGCTCATCCCAATCGAGTCCATCAAACTCTTTCATGATCTGACTCAGAACACTGACACCACCGGCACCTGCCGCAGCTAGCACCTGATCTTCTTCTTCTGCTGCTGCTGCTGCTGCTGCTGCTGCTGAAGGCTCTGCTGCTGCTTCATCAAGGCCCTGCAGCTGCATGTCCTCCATGTCACCCCACTCCACAGCGTGTGCAAGCTGCTGCTGCTGCTGCTGGGGCGCCGCAGGTTGCTGCTGCCAACAGCCAAGTGTCTGTTGCTGCTGCCATCCATGGTATTGCGCCTGCCTTTGCTGCAGCTGCTGCTGCTGCTGCTGCTGCTGCTGCTGCTGTTCTGGCTCATCAAACAGGCCTGTGATGTGCAACGCATCCTCACCATCTTCTGCTGCATCTTCTGCTGCAGCAGTACCAGCCAGCCAGCAGTCTCCTGCAAGGCTTAGGCGCATGCTGCTGATGCCAGATGGCTGAACCTGCATGTGCGCACGCTGCTGCTGCTGCTGCTGCTGCTGCTGCTGCTGCTGCTGCTGCTGCTGCTCCTGCCTCAAGACCTCAAGAGCTGTCTTGGCATTACACCCAGTCCCCTGCAATCCTGCAGCTGCTGCTGGTGCTGTTTCTGACCACAAGTCAACCGCGCCAAAGGAGGCACCACATACGTCAGTAGCAGGCTGCTGCTGCTGCTGCTGCTGAGCAGCAGGAGCTGCTGCTGTTGTCGCGTGCTGCTCAACCAGGGCATCGATTTCATCCCAATCAATGTCATCATCTTCTTGGCACTCATCCTGAGGTTCAGCATGAAGTGGCTGTTCACAGTGCAGCTGCTGGTTGTGAACATTGCTGCCAGCAGCTGGCTGTGCACCATGCGGGTAACTCTGCTGCCACTGCTGCTGCTGCTGCTGCTGTGGATGACCCCAGGTTTGCTGCTGCTGCTGCTGCTGCTGGCCTGGCACGTGCTGCTGCTGCATCCACTGGCCGCACTGCGGCTGCTGCTGCTGTTGCTGCCCCTGGCCCCACTGTTGCTGCTGCTGCTGCTGCTGCTGCTGCTGCTGCTGCTGCACCATGCCGGGTACTGCTGGCAGCTCTGGGAATGATGCTGCAAAGCTGCCAAAGCTGTCACCCAGCAGTGAGCGCAGCAGGCGGCCTGCTGCTGACGCCTCTGGGGGCACCTGTAGGCAGACGGTGGCAACATGCAGCAGCGCTGTGAAGGATCAAGCGTAAGGTATCTCTTCTCCCTGCCTTATGCACGCATGTGCTGTGGACTTTATAACCTATGTGCCTGGTGCCGTAACATGCGGGGTTGTGCTGAGTACTCCGTGTTGTGTGACTTACATGCATTTGTGCGTGTGTCAGCGTGCTCTGCAACACGGGTAGGTCTAGACACAATTCATGTTGAGCTGCAACAGGCTTGAGACGGCCACATCCACGACTTTTAAAAATACAGTGACCGACCGACCTGCAGCGCAGTCCTGGCATCGCCCCTCAGCTGCCTCACTGACACCTTGGGCTTGCGCAACAGGGCTTCAGGGTTTGCAACCGGCTTAAACCTCGACTTGCTGGGCTCAAAACCGCCGCCGGGGCCCTGCTGCGCGAGCCGCAGGAGGTTGCTGCTGCTGTACTGCCATGCGTCGGAGGCCCTGAAAGCTGGCAGCAGCAGCGGCAGCTGCTGCAGGCTGGCCTGCTGCTTGGTGCCCTGAAGCAGCAAGGTGATACAGTTGTAGTGCCAGATCAGTGTGCTCAGCGAGAGCAGCAGCAGCAGGGCTGAGCACCGCCACATGCTAGAACATAAGCACAAGGCCATCAAACAAGCAAGCGGAGAGCTGACATGAGCACATCTGCAGTGTTCAAAGCTCGCAGCATCTGGTTGGTGCTATGGCAGCAGAGCTCCCCTTGTGCACTGCTGTTGCGCTTTGAATGCTCACCCGCTGCTGTGTTGACCCTGCTGGCCCTTGCTTTCTGGCCTTCCTCCTACGCTTCTGGAAGCCCTCATTCTCAGAGTCACTCCATCCGCTGCTGCTTCCACTGTTGTCATCTGCAGCAGCTGCTGCTGCATCACATGCTAGTGACACGTCAGGGTCAGGCTGCTGCTGCTGGCTGGTTGAACCTGCAGCGTGTTGGGACGCCCTGATCTGCGTGCCAGCCTGGCGCCTGCAGCAATGACAATGCAGGGCAATAACAGCACGTCAAGCACCCCTTAACACCACGCTTGCAGGCTGTACTGAGACTGTAGCAACGGCTAGATGAGTGCGGCATGATGGGCAGCAGGCAGGAAATACAGCATCGGCACAAGCTGCATGGGCAGCAAACAGTGCCTCATACCAGCTAAGATGGTGCCAGGACCCACATTCAACTATAATCTTTGAGAAAGACGCTAACCTATCACCTCGTACAGCACCCTCAAAGCCGCACCTGCCAAGCACTGGCACCACCCTGCCAGAAGCTGCGCCAGCATGCCAAGTCCCACCAGCACAACGTGACAGCACAAAGTGCTGGCTATGCCTACAGCAAGCTCAATCCAATGGGTGTGTTTGACAGCACAAAATGACAGATGTAAAAGGACGGATTTACACGGCTGCTGGATGACTGTCCCTCAAGTGCGCCTACATTGCCGCACACAGCCTCACCTGCCCAGCACAGGCACCACCCTGCCAGCAGCTCCGCCAGCATAGCCAGTCCCACCAGCACCACCATCAGCAGCAACAGCTGCTGCTGCTGCTGCTGCTGCATCCTCAGCAGCATCTGGCATGTCTGCAGCTGCTGGCTGCCAATCGTCATCCTCTCCAGATGTTACCTCGCCATCGCTGTCACTGCTGTCAATCTCTTCCTCACTCTCTCCACAACCAGCACCCTGCTGCTGCTGCTGCTGGCTGGCGATGCCAGCGCCCTGACTGCTGCTGCCCAAGCCACCCCTGCTGGCTCGACTAAGCAGCAGCGGCAGGCATCCCTTGCCAGCCTGTGCTGCTGCTGCTGCTGCCACGGCAGCACCTCCCGCTGTGCTGCTGCTGGTCCGCCGCCTGCCAAGGACAGGCACTACACGCGGCAAGGCAGTTCCAGCTGCTGCTGCTGCAGCTGCGTTGCCTGGCAGTTGCCTTCCTTCTGCTTCATCATCCACAACTATGTCATCATCTGATTGCTCACCACCTGCTGATGCTGCTGCTGCAGCAGCTGCTGCGGCTGCCTCCTCCTGCTGCTGCTGCTGTATGCCGCCAGCTAGCTGCTGGTAGCGCTGCTGCCGCCTGGCAAAGCGAGGGACATACTTGCACGCGACTTGCGCTGCTACCTGCTGCTGCTGCTGCTGCTGCTGCTGCTGCTGTGGCAACGGTTGACTTGTG